CTAAATTTCTCAAAATCGTTGGCCGAGAAATGTGGACAGGAATGTCGACTTCACAAGAAATGCCGTCGACAAAAATTGCACTGATGAAACTTCACCAATTTTTAATATGTTGTAGCTCTTATCCGTGGTTACAATTCCCAATCTGAATCGTACAAAAAGGTGAAGTAACTCTTGAGTGATGAATTTTGGCGCACTAGGGGGTATGCTGCCATAAAACTAAACTCACTCACAATTGTTCTCATAAGTTCCTCACAAGAAAGTTAGAGTAGTTAGAAATCAGGTAGGAGGGGGGTGAAGAGGAGGACGAGAGGGAAGGTCCCCAATGAGTCCCCAACGAGGGAAACCCCATAAGCACATCAAATCCCCTCCCGCTTTTACTTTTGTCACTTTCCCAACCCATGCCATCCACCTTACCCACACTTGCCAACCTGGTTTGGTTTCTCCCAACCACTTGGCAGCATCTACAGTGATGGGGACGAATTTCCCAACCCCCAAAAGTCTATACCCTTTATGGAGTCAACCCAACAACTTCCCATAGTTACCACAACCAAATATCAAAAGCTTACGAACTTCAAATGTTTGTAACTTTCTTGTTCGTGCTCCGATCGAAGCGATACTTGGCTTGACGGAAAGCTCGAGCAGAGGAGTCACATCAGAGATCTACTCAAGCCAAATAAAATTCACACACACTCAGAAAAACCAAACCACATCAAACACAAATTCTTGCACATGCTCACACCACGCATGCAACGCACGGACATATGATGGGAGACATACAGACGTGAATGCATATGATTGCATCACACAATAGATATGCTTCGGGTGTTCGGGTGCATGTGCATGGCGCTCGTGCCTAAGCATCTTCCGCACAACAAGTTCCGTGCCAAGGCGATATGGGCGGTGCACTTGGGCATGGCTCAAAACAGCAAGGGTTGGCTTTTTGGGGACCCATTCACCAAGAAGTTATTGGTGAGCAGGGACTGCAAGTTCATGGAGAATCTCATGTACAAGGATTGGAAGGCGGAGAATGAGGCGAAGATAGGTGTGCGGTTTGGGGAGGTGAAGAGTTCCGAATTGGAGCGTGTGGAGCTGCCTTTGGAGCTGAGCAGCGGCGGCACTACCACAAGGCAATCTTCCCTTGGGAATGGGGAAGGGGAGGCCAAGGATGCAGAGGAAGAAGAGGAGGAAGTGCAGCAAGTGAGCGAGCGTGCACCGGCACTTCCTTCACGCGCTACGAGTGCTCCACGGATCCAAGCCACACCGCAGCAACGCCAAGGCCTTCAAGTCCCTGCAGCTGAGGAGGAAGGAAGGGGCAAGAGGAGACTCCAAGCCCCTAATAGGCTGACCTATGATGCACCAGGAAAGTAAGGCAAGACAGCCTTGGCCGGAGCGGCAATGATGGTTGGAGACGACGAGGAGAGTGACTACGAGGAGTGTTCGCTCGTGTTCTTCTCTCCGGTGGGGATGCCGGGAGAACCAGCAACTCTCAAGGAGGCCTTGGAGAGTAGTGATGCTGAGGAGTGGAAGAAGGCAATGGAGTGTGAGTTGAAGAGCATTGAGGAGAATGACACATTTGAATTGGTGGAGCTACCGGAGGGGCGTAAGGCTATTACGTCCAGGTGGCTCTTCAAGATCAAGTCTGACGCCGACGGCATGATCGAGCGCTACAAGTCTAGGCTTGTGGCCAAAGGGTACCAGTAGAAGGAGAAGGTGGACTTCAATGAGCTGTTTGCTCCTGTGGTGAAGCCGACAATGCTGCGGACCCTACTCGCGGGAGCCGCGATCAAAACATGGGTGGTGAAGCAGATGGATATTACAACGGCATTCCTTAACGGCATCCTTGAGGAGGAGATATTTATGGCGCAGCCAGAGGGGTTTGATGATGGTAGCGGCAGAGTGTGGAAGCTGAAGAAGGCCCTCTATGGGCTGAAGCAGGCCCCTAGGCAATGGTACATGAAGCTGCGTGAAGTGTTGGAGGAGATCGGCCTCACACCCTCAACTGCCAACCACTCCTTGTTCATTCTTGGCGAGGGGGAGCAGAGGAGCTTCATGGTCGTGTACGTGGATGACATCCTCATCTTCTCACCCTCCTCTGACCTTGTGAAGGAGGTGATGCTGAAGCTTCAGGATAAATTCAAGTGCAACGCCCTTGGTGATGTGAACTTCTACCTCGGGCTTCACATCGAACGCGATGTGGAGAAGCGGTGCATGCGGGTGCACCAACGCAAGTGCCTGGAGGCATTGGCTGCCAACTTTGGGCTGAGTGAAGGCCATGTAGCTACTCCCCTTCCGTTTGGGTTCAAGTGTGTGAAGGGACCAGAGGAGGAGAGCATTGGTGAAGAGGAGAGGCGTCGTTTTCACTCGCTGGTGGGCAGCCTCATGTATGCGGCGGTAAACACTCGACCGGACGTTGCCTTCACTAGCGGGTAGCTGGCTAGGGTTGTGCAATGCCCTAATGAGGAGCAGGTAGCAGCTAGAATGAGGGTGGCCAAGCACCTTGGCCAAACACCGACCGTTGGGCTGCAATACTCGGCGGCGGCGCAAAGGCGCCAAAAGGGCGCGGATGGTGTTGAACCCGGGCGTTTGTTCCTCACTGCCTACTCGGATGCTTCATATGTATCGAAACCAGAGGACATGACAAGTGTTAGAGGGTTCATTTGCTGTGTTTGTGGAGGCCCAACTACTTGGGAGAGCAAGAAGCAGGTGGACCAAGCTTTGAGCTCAGTGGAGTCCGAGTACATGGCACTCTTCCGTGCGGTACGGGAGATTGTATGGCAGCGGCGTTTGTTGGCTGAATTGGGGGAGGAGCAGCAAGGACCTACCCCTCTCTATTGTGATAGCCAATGTGCCATTGCTCTTGCTAAGAATCCTGTGTTGCATGGCCTTACGAAGCACATGAGGGTTAAGTGGCATTGGACGAGGAGCATGGTGGATGCGGGTGAAGTTGAGTTGCACTACGTGAAGGCGACGGGATAGCCGGCAGACATGATGACCAAGAGGCTGGTGGAGCAGCAGCATTGGAAGTGTTGCAATCTGGCTAGACTGGCCCTGAACTAAGAGGAGCAGATCCTAAGGCCAACAATCCTAGGGGGAGTTTGTTGGTGCAACCTACGGTTTGCACTCGGCTTGTTGTCCGTATGCGTGCATGTGTGTGTGCATGGAATGGAATGAGGGCATGCTATAATATATATATTTCATGCTTATAAAAGTGTGTGCATGAAAATTCATGATGTCGAGTGTGTGTGTGTCGAGTCAATAGCGAGTTATCGCTGGTCGCGTGTCACACGGTCATTTGTGTCTCACACACGGTTTCTATTTTGCCGTGTGTCTCGTGCGCGGTTTCTATTTTGTCGTGTGTCGAACGTCGCCGTGTCGCAGGTGTGTGCAGCAGACCTATCAAGAACTCAAAGATGAGTTTGTGATGAAGAACCCGAGCCTTGGTGTCAAGCCTCAAGTGATTTCGAAGCTTGCCAAAAGGATACACTTCAGGATGTTGAAGATAGTTACATTACAATGTGTAGTGTAACATTTATGTTGATGTAGACCCTTGTGGAGGGTAGTTTCGAGACCCTTCTTGGTAGGGGATAGTGTAACACTGTTCCAGATCATTGTATCTCGGCTCTTGGGGTTTGTAGGAGCTGGGAGTCATTCCCAACTCGTAACTCTTCCTAATCTTGTGTTCTAATACTATAGTGGCTGCCATAGTGCCGTTCATTCAATCCAACGTTGTGTCGTCAATACGTGGTGAAATCGTGCGATCTAAACTGCCTGTTGTAGGCGACACTAAGACGCTCCAGATCCAATTTCAATCGGGTTATTTGACCAGAACGCTATGAACGTTGAAAGCCGTTGTGTAGAAATCCGACTGTGCACTCTATCTTTTGTTTTAGGCACATTGGAGCTTACTGTGACTATAACAGCGGGCAGGGCAGGGCGCGTGGCAGAGCAGCGCGCGGGCAGGGCAGGGTGCGCAGCGGCGCTGCGTGCGGGCAGGGCAGGGTGCGAGGCGGCGCGGCGCGCAGGCAGGGCAGGGCGCTAGGCGGCGGGCGGCGCGCAGGCAGGGCAAGGCGCGCTGTGGCGGGCGTCGCACGCGCAGGGCAGGGCACGCAGCTGCGGCAGCACGCGGGCAAAGCAGGGCGCACGACGGCGGGCGGCGCACGAGCAGGGCAACGCGGCGGCGCGGCGCGTGGACAGGGCAGGGCGCTCTGCGGTAAGCGGCGGCGCGGCGCGCGGGCAGAGCAGGGCGCGCGGGTCAAACAGGGCGCGCTGCAGCGAGCGGCGTGCGGGCAAAGCAGAGCGCGCTGCGGCGGGCAGTGCGCGGGCAGGGCAGGGCGTGCGCAGGCAGCGCGACGCAGGGCAGGGCAGGGCAGGGTGGTGCGATCACGGTGGCACGACGGGTGAGGTAGCACTACTCGGTGGGCCATAAGAAAACGGTCCTAGGTTAGGACCTGCTCTGAAACCATGTCAGAAGTACGAACGAGGAATCAATTGACTAACAGCAGAATGGGTACAAGTGCTAACCCTAATTGGGTTGTACCCCATATGGGCTACCCCACTATAGCCTACACAATAAGCAGCATATAAGTTTGACAGGAGTCGCAGGAGAGGCGGAAGTTGCGCGAGCAGCTGGAGTAGCGTGAGCAGCTGGAGTAGCGAGATGGCAGAAAGAAGAGAGAAAATTTTAGAAATCCAAACTAGAGATTGGTAAGAAATGACATGTACTTTGACAAACACCGTCAATCGTAGTGCAGTCGTGTGTCGAGTCTTGATGATGAATTTTAATTATGTTTATCGAGTCTTGTAAAACATGTACAGTTTATCATACTGCATGAAAATGATGCATTTTTTCCAATGCTTTTATTTCACTTAAAACACGAAGTTGCTCTGCAACCCTAACACGATCTCGTCGCCTATTTTTCCCCCTTATTTTCAACTCGCGAACCCCCTTATCCATCCCCCATGGCCTCCCCACCACGTCGCGCGCCTCGTCGCCTAGTCGCATGCCACTTCCCCTCGTCGCGCGCGCCCTGCTCTGCCTCGTCGTGCGCCTTGCCCTCCCGTCGTGCATCCTACACTCCCGTCGCGCGCAAGTGCCATGCCTCTGCCGCCGCGCATGCGTTCTGTCTGCCGACGTTGCACGCATGCACGCGCGCCTTGTTCGCGCACGACCTGCCGGCCGCCATCACTCTCCCCACCGCCCATTTTCTCCTTTCCACGGCCGCCCTCCCTTCCCCCCCTTTCGCCGGTATTCTCCCCTCCCTTTGTGGTGCGCTGAACCCCTCCTCCCCCCTCCCCCACCCCCTTCTCCTGACTCTTTCGCACCACCTCCTCCCTCTCCGCTCATCACATCCGCCTCTTACACTCCTTCCCCTCTCTTCTCTCCTCCCTATCCTTCGTGCTCCTCCTCCCTTCCTCCACCTCCTTCCTCTCCGCCTCTCCTGCAACTAGCTGATGTCGTTGCCTGTCACTTGGTGATCGTGCTCCTATCTCCTCACATTCCACTCCTTCACCCTCCTCCTCCTCTTACCTCTCTCCCTCCACTTCCCCTCACCTTCTCACCTCTTCCTCCACCTCTCTTCTCTCCCTATCTGCTACAGCTGGTATCCGACTGTGCATTGTCGACAACCTTTCCTCCTCCTCTCATTTCTCCCCTCAGCGGCGCAGTATCAGACTACTCCATTGTTGTCCCTCCTCCTCTTGTTTCTCCCCACAGAGGCGCAGCAGAAGAGTACTCCACCGTTGTCCCTCCTCCTCTTGTTTCTCCCCTCAGCGGCGCAGCAGCATACTACAACACCGTTGTCCCTCCTCCTCTTGTTTCTCCCCTCAGCGGCGCACCAGCAGACTACTCCACCGTTGTCCCTCCTCCTCTTATTTCTCCCCTCAGCGGCGCAGCAGCAGACTACTCCACCATTATCCCTCCTCCTCTTGTTTCTCCCCTCAGCGGCGCAGCAGCAGACTACTCCACCGTTGTCCCTCCTCCTCTTTTTTCTCCCCTCAGCGGCGCATCAGTAGACTACTCCACCGTTATTATTCCTCCTCTTGTTTCTCCCCTCAATTGCTCAGCAGCTGACTACTTCACCCCTATTCCTCGTCATGTGTCTCCCACCAATGGCTCAGCAGCTGACTACCTTGCCCCTATTCCTCCTCTTATGTCTCCCCACATCTGTTTCGTTGATATCCCCTCCCCCTGATGGCGCCTATTCTCACCCTTACCTCTCCCCCTTAGCACTTCCGCCCTCATCCTCTTTCCACCGTACCGCCTCTCCTACCCTTGCCTTCCCTACTCTCCGCTCCCTTCACTACCCCTTCCTCCCTTTGCACCTCTCCTACTTGCCGCTGGACCTGTCCTCTTCTTCGCCCCTCTGCCTGGATTCCGCTGTCCCATCAGCATCGCCGCTCTTCTGCCACTTTAACCTCTGGTATTGGTTCTCTGGTCTCTCTCTTCAGTGTGACCAGATAGCATCCTTGGTGCTTCTCCTCTTCTACCATCTCCGGATAGCATCCTTGGTGCTTCTCCTCTTACGGACTTTCGCTTTGACGTTCCACTTTCTCCACCCTTTCAAAGCACTGCTTCTCACTCTCCCAGCCTTATGGCTGCCGCTCTCTCACTTCCTTGCACCTTGGATTTTGTCCTTGACAGTGCTGCTACTGACTCTGACTTTCGTGATGCTGGTGTCCTTCGCAATTTTTCTCGTCCCCTCACTATTGATGGGGCTGGGGAGACCATGACCATGATCTGTACTGGCACTTCCTCTCCTCCCTGTCCTGCCTCTCCCTCTGGCGCTATTACTGGCCTTTATATTCCCTCTTGCCGTCATAACCTCCTATCCCTCCCTGCCCTCCAACGCCTGGGTGTGCGAGCACTCTTCCTTGCAGGTGAACTATATTGTGATCTTCATTACCACGACCGGCACCTTGCTCATTTCACCATTTCTCTTACTACTCGCCTCTACACCCTTCGTGTTCCCATCCCCTCATCTGTCCATCACACTTCCTCTTCTTCTTCCCCTCCCATCTCCTCTTGCGAGTGTCGCTCTCTCACCCAACCTACCCTTCTTCATCATCGCCTTGGCCACCCCAACTTCCCTCTCCTTCGTAGCATGGTCACTTCGAAGCTGCTTCATGATCTCCCTCCCTCTCTTCCACCCATTCCACCCTCTCCCGCTCCTCCGTGCACCCCTTGTGTTCAAGCCAAGCTCTCTCAATCTCCTCATCCTTCTTCCTCTTGTGCCTCCCCCAAACCCCTTGATCTTGTGCATATGAACTTCTGGGGTCCCTCTCCGATTGCCTCCCGTCAAGGTCATCGTTACTTTCTCCTTCTTGTCGATGACCACTCTCACTTTGCCACTGCCTATCCCCTTCGTGCCAAATCTGACGCCCCCTCCCTCATCATTCGCTGGGCTGAACAGGCGCGCCTTCACTTTGGCCGTCCTGTCGCATGCTTCCACTCTGATGGTGGTGGCGAGTTCATTAACCGCTCTCTCTTTTCTTACTGCTCCTCTAATGGCATTCGCCAAACCTCCACCCTTTCGCATTCTCCCGAACAGAATGGTGTTGCTGAGCTTCGTATTTGCACTCTCATGAAGATCACCTGCTGTCTTCTTACTCATGCCTCTGCTCCACACTCTCTTTGGAGCTACGCTCTTGTTCATGCCACTCTTCTTTCCAACCTTCGCCCCCATCCCCTTTGCCCTTCCTTTACACCCTTCCAGCTCTGGACTGGCCGCCAGCCCTCTGCCCGCCATCTTTGGGTGTGGGGCTGTGTCGCTCATGTCCTTATCAATCCCATCGATCGAGCACATCAGGGTGGTAAGCTCGCTCCCAAGACGCAGCGCTGTGTGTTCATTGGCATCAACGCTGATTGTCCTGGCTATCTTTTCTATGCTCCCTCCTCTCAGCAGCTCATTCGCAACCAGGATTTTATCTTTGATGAGACTCGACCTCCATTCCTCACCCCCCCTCCCACCCCTCCTCCTCCCTCTCTTCATTCGTCTGACTTTGATCCGCTGCCCTCTGCTGCACCCTCTCCTTCTCCACTTCCTCCTCCCCCTGCTCCGCCTCCCCTCCTTGCCCCCTCCACTACCCCCTCTGCTGTCATCTCCGGCACCTCTCCTCCTCCCTCTTCCTCTTCTACTCCCATGCCCTCTTATTCACAACATCCTTCTCCTCTCCCTCCCTCTGCTCCTACTCCCCCGCCCTCTCCTTCACCATCTCCTACTACTCTTCCTTCTGCTCCTGCTCCTCCACCTTCTTCGCATCTCACCCGCTCCATGACCCATGCAATGTCCAATTTTCATCACTTTGCTATCTTTACTTGTCTCTCTCCCTCTTAAAACGTCGATCTTCTTGAGGATCGATTTGAAGTGCTATTGTCTGTTCATCCCATTTCACCCCTCATCTGTCTCACCATTGGCGAATTCTCCAATTCTCCCACTCTTCTCTCCGCTGATACAGCCTCTATTCCCACCCCTCATACCTATTCTGAGGCAGTGTCTGGCTTTCATGCAATTGAGTGGATGGCTGCCGTTATTGCCGAGTATGAGGCATTCACCAGAACTCAATCTTATGTTGACTCTGTCTCCCCCCTTGGCTCCACCATTATCAAGGGCAAATGGGTCTTTCGTGTCAAACAGCTGCCTGGGGAGCTCCCTGTCTTCAAAGCATGTTACTGCGCCAAAGGTTTCACCCAATGTGAAGGCATTGATTACTTTGCCACTTACTCCCCCACTTCCCGTCTCCCCACTCTTCGCCTCTTTTTTTATCTAGGCGCCCGCTAGCATAGGGAGATTCACTTTATGGATGTCTCCAATGCATTTCTCCAGGGAGAGCTTCATGAACGCATTTTCCTTCAGCGCCCCGCTGGCTTTCCTCGCCCGTTCCCTCCAGGCTCTGTCTTGGAGCTGAGGCGCCCAGTGTATGGTCTTAAGCAGGCCCCGCGCGAGTGGCATGCTAAGCTCGCCTCTACTCTTTACTCTCTTGGCTTCTCTACCTCTTCTTCCAACCCCTGTCTCTTCATTTGCACCTCCCCCCACATACTTTACATTCTTGCCTACGTCGATGACTTGGTGCTCCTCGCTGAAAAATCTGCCGACCTTGCCGCTGTCAAGCAGGCCCTCTAGGCGCCCCTCCTGTGCAAGGATCTTGGCAAGCTTCGTCATTACCTCGGCATGGAGATCCGTCGTAATCGTACTGCCCGCACCATCTCTCTCTCTCTCAATCCTTCTACATCCACTCCATTCTTGAGCACTTTGAAATGTCACATGCCAAGCTTGTTTCCACGCCTCTTCCCACTAACCATCAGCTTACTGCCCATTCCGTTCCCGCTCCCTCCTCAGAACTGCGACCCTATCCTGAGCTCGTTGGGTCACTCATGTATGCTATGATGTGCACTCGTCCCGATCTTGCTTACCCCCTCAGTGTCCTCTCTCGTTTTGTTGGCCTTGGTCACCACATTGATGTGGACTAGGCGGCTGCCAGACGGCGTTCTCCGCTATCTCCGCGCTACCTCTGATCTTGCACTCACTCTTGGTGGCTCTTCTCCCCCCGTTCTTTCTGGTTACAGTAATTCCTCCTACGCTGATTCTCGCCCTAATCGCCGCTCCTCTCAGGGTTATGGTTTTACACTTGGCAGTGGCCTCATCAGCTGGCGCTCCACTTGTTCATCCTCTGTCTTTCTTTCCACCTGCGAGGCTGAGTTGTACGCAGGCACATTGGCGGCTCAGGAGGCTTGTTGGCTCTCGTTTCTCTTTGCTGAGCTTGATCACTCTCAACCCTCTGTGACGCTCTCCTGTGACAGTGCGAGCATGATTCACCTCACTGAAAATCCTATCTAACACACTCGCACCGAACACGTCGAGGTCCGCTACTTCTTCGTGTACGAGCTGGTACGGTCTGGCTTCCTCTGCCTTTGCAAGGTGGCCGTTGCTGCCAACCTTGCTGATAGTTTCACCAAGGCTCTCCTTTGTGCACCACATCGTTTCTACATGCGCGCACTTGGGCTCACTCGTCTCGCCATTTCTGGGGGTGTTCCTATTCGCAAGGTGTTTTTTTCTAGAGCTTCACCTAGCCTAGGGGTGAGTTGGAGTAAGCTAGAGCTGGCTCTGGCATTTATTATGGTGTTCGTTTATTATTTCGCCATGCTTAGAGCGAGTTTCACCTTTGGTTCAGTTTGGGTTCATTTCTTTGTTTCTAGCACAAACTAAACACACCCTAAGTTCAACTAGGGTTTCCTACATTTATATCTCGACACTCTTGTTAGTGCATCTCTTCAACCTATCTTGCTAAGCCATGGCTATTACTCTCATATTAAAACACATTACCAGAGCCTCCAGCTCTAGTACCTCCATCACCAACACCTCCAACTCCAGTACCTCCAGTATCTCCAGCTCCACCAGCACCAGTACCTACAGCACCAATGCCTCCAGTATCTCCAGCACCAGGACCTCCAAGCCCATCGCCTCCAGCACCTCCAGTACCTCCAGCTCTGGTGCCTCTAGCACGAGTACCTCCAGGTACAACGACTCCAGCACCAATACCGCCTGCACTAGGACCTCCAGCTCCAGCGCCTCCAGCACTAGCATCGCCAGCTCCAAGACCTACAGCTCCAGCGCCTCCAGCACCTCCAGCGCCATTACCTCCAGTCTCAGCGCCTCCAACACTTCCAGCTCCGCGACTAGTGCGAACGCCGAATAACCCACTCACAAAGCTGCTGTGGCGAGAGAGACTCCTGCCAATGAGACTACTACTGCTGTCGACCCCCGGAACCTCCAGCAGGAGCACCAGCGACTCCACCACCACTAGGACACTCAGAACCACTAGCACCCCCCGAACCAGCACCTCCAGTGTCACCACCCCTAGAGTCCGCACCCCCAGCGTCACGACCTCCAGCAGCACCAGAGTCTACAGCAGCAGGCTGCAGAGGCGGCGAAGACGGCCGAGGTGGAAAACCAGGAGGGTTCTCCAAGCTCGGTGAGTGGCAAGTGGTCGCTATGTCGTCAGCAACAGTGTCACCCCCCTCAGCTGGGCCAAAAGTGTTAGAGATGATCTCCAAAGGCTAAACCAAAGGAAGTGGGTCTACTTGTGACACACCCGAGGGAGCAGGACCCTATGGGGGGAGGGGGTCTACGGGGGGAGGACCTGGGACCAGGATGAGAGGTGGGGGGAGGGGATGGGGGTATGGCGGTGGGGGTAGAGACGGTAGTACCAAACCGACTAGTCGAAGGTGACATCCTGGGAGGGCAGGCCGCGATGCAACACTGGGTGGTAAAACTGCCAGCTAGGCGTGTCAGGGGTGGAACCAAGGAAGACACAGCAAATGGTGCAAGAAAAGAGCTTGTCTGCCATGGTATCGCGGACAAGGGCATGCAAACTTCAGACCCAAAACGCCGATGCATCGCCAACCTCCCTCATCTAACACAGTGTAGGCGAGGTCTCTGGCACTGAGACACGGGGCCAGAGGTT